GCTTAGGGGCAAAAAAGGGATGTTTTCATTGGCTTTCCCCAAACTGGATGCTTTCACACCACTTTCTATAATCCAAACAGTATGTCTTTCCTTAACGTACTGTGAAGACATGGTGGCTATCTATTATAAAGCCACGAAAGACGTGTTCTTCTCCCAAGATGGGGTTAGCACCCTCCTCTTGTCCCCTCATGTTTTATGGGGTCTTTTGCACCGTCTCCTGGCCGTCTGTGTTCTCCGTGGACTCCTAAGAGCCTTCCAAAGCAGTGACCAGCCTTGCCTGAGGTTGTATGACACATACCCTGCATACAGGGAGTGGTCAATAAATAGTTGTTGAATTAAATAGTATAAAATTAAGTAGGTACTAGTTTGGGCAAATTTTGAAACATCTGAAGTCAAACTCTCATTTTGAAAGGCTGAAAAATAGTTTTCAATTTTAATTGATTATTTCTAAGAAAATGTAAATATTCCCGCGATTCTCAAATTCATACTATTCACCAATGACATTTTCAAGTTGATTTGACAGGCTGAGATGGGGGTCCAGGTTGAGGACATAATAAAAATTTATGTTTTTAAATGCCCTCTAACTTATGGTTATGTACGAAGAAGGAACACAGGATATATGAGGGAAAAATACTTTGAAAACTCTAAAGTGGGTTGCAGATGTTAATGTTTTCACATAGCTGAAACTGAAACTGCCCATGTGCTCAGTCTCTTGCAGACTGAAGCAGGCGTGTGTGTGTGGATGGGACAGAGGGATGGTGGGAGGAACAGTTACATTTTGCACAGAGCATTCATTTGTTCTGTGCTTAGCCAGGATGCAGATGGTTTGCCCTTGCTGGGATTAGTTGGGGATGGTGGAGGGCAAGTACTTAGGCTTTGCTTTCACATAATTGGCAATGTAGGGTTTCAAGAAATCTTTAGACAATGACACTGTTCAGCTACCTACTTGGGGAGGTCAACTGCTTGATTAATTTTTAAAATTCATATCAAGCAAGTGACAGTGACACATCCTGGTGCCATTTCATACCGTCCCTAACTTCTCAGAAGCAGTTGATGTCAGTTGTCTTCTCTGGCCAGCATTGCTGGCCCTGGCTCTGCAACGGTCCAAGGAGTTTGCAGTTCTCTAGGGGAATTGCAGAATACTTTTAAATATTCTAAAAAGGAATTTAAACATTCGTTTTATTTTAATTTACATATGCCATTCAGTACTGTGGAATGACATGGCCAACCACAATATGTTGCAACTCTGCAATACAGCTGTGTGTTCTCAGAATAAAATGCTGATGGTCCTGCAGTCCAGTGCTATCTGCTTTTCACCTTGGCCAGCTGTGAGAGTTAGCCAATACTGCTCTCTTTGTGTGCCTGTAAAAAAAATTTTAGGTCCAAGAAGGTCAGATATTGTTTCATAAAGCTTTAGTCTAGTGAGTTCTAGTAATTCTTCATCTTTCTCAAATACATACTGGTCAAATCTTCCCCAATAACAAAGTAACTCAGCATCCACATTTTACAATTGTAATGTAATTTGGTATGAGAAAACTACTTCCTGATCTCCAGGATCTAGAAAGTAAGCATAGAACATTTAGGAATGTTAGGACCATTGTCAGGGAGGCAGATGCTCTGCACAGCTCCATCCCAAGCTCTCCACTTCCAGTTTCATGCTGTTTTCCTTTTTGCTTAAGCATATGTTGGTGTGTTGCCTAAGGGTTTAGATGTGTTATTATAACGTGACTAAGAATTATGTAAGACAAAGCCCAACTTGCTTTTCTTTTCCCTTCCAGTCCTACTATAACTTAGACAAAACTCAACCATTTTCTTCCATTATGTAGAATGGCTGTTGACAAGGAAGGATGTCGATAAAAGAAAACTTTCAGGGGACAGTGGGAAGAAAATGCCTCATGATTTACTTAACAGGAAACTATAAGTAGGAGTCATGCCCAAGAACACGGAAATTGCTTATTTAAAATACCTTTTTTTCTATGTTCAAAAGAATACACGCACATGGTAAAAAAAAAAAAAAAGCTGTAAAGAAAAATAGAAAACAAGAAGTAAAAGTTATATTCCTCAATATCCTACCCCAACTCCTGCATCCCACTGCCAAAAGAACACTGTTAAGCCATTTGTTTTACATCCTTCTGGAAGAAGTCTATGCGTATTACAAAGATCTCACAAACATCCACATGCTTTCTTTCCCTACAAGCTCTACAGCTTGATTTTTTTTCCTTATTGTGTCTTAAGCGTTTTTACATATCAGTAAATATCTATACCTCACTTTAAAAGAAAATTACAAGCTTCATAGTATTCCACTGAATGAGAATATCATTATTTGTTTATACAGTCTCTTTTTGGTAGACATTTGGATTATTTAGATCATTAAATCATTACTGTTGCAAATAATGCTTTAGTGAACATCTTTGTAAATATATATTTGTACACATAAGAAAATAAATAATATCTTCAGGGCAGATTTCTGAAAGTGTAATGACTAATTCTGAGATTATATGTATTTACATCTTGATAATTATCTTCTAATTTATCTCCAAAGATAACCAATGTATATAACTAGCAGCAATGCATGAGAGTGTGTTCCCCACCTGCTCCCATCATGGAAATTTATTTTTATAAATAACAACGTATAAACACTATCATAAGTTACCTCTCCCGTTCAGGGGAAGACTTACTTTTTGCTTTCATAGATATCTGTACTATGTAAGCGTGATATAATGATGATGTTTTCTTTTGTAATTGAAAAAGATTAAAGATATTTAGAACTCTTGTTTATAACTGTTTGGAGAATATAATTTCACTTGTAAAGTAAAGCCCAGATTATGAGACCATTCATCAAAAGAATACCACGGGAGGGGGAAGTTGGAAGCAGAGCTCTGTTTGATGAGGGCAGGCTGATGGATGGGAAAGGAATACTTATAGGCTGCCCGCTAGTGAGAACTGGGGCAGGTAACCTTGTGGTATCAAGATGCAGAAGCCCAGAGACAGCAATAAATCTCTTGCAATTTTACTATCTCCCCATGAGGTCATAGCCCTAGAATGAGAATTCCTCTTTACAGGATACACCTATAATGCAAGAGACAATGGTCAGAAAGTACTGCACTTAACTCTCTTTTCTTGCACCGGAAGGATAATACAATCTGTGCTTCTCCTTTTAAATTCTTCTAGAATAGAGTGTGCTCAATTCCTCTTTTCCTCACACAGACTGGAAAACTTTGATCTATACCCAGGTTTACACATTTTCTTTAGTTTAGAAAACCCATGTGTCCCACTCTCAGAATCATTACTGTGGTTGAAAAGTTTTTCAGGGCAAGAGTTCCTTGTAAAACAATATCCAGATTCAAGGGAAAACATCTGAGTCATGACAATTTAGAATCCAGTCTGGTCTGCTATAAAACATGTATCTATAACATGAAATATCTCATGTGCAATTGGTAAATAGGAAAATAATGTCAGTATAACATGAAATTTGTGTAGCTTAAACATGATTTTCCTAGGCAAGGAGCACTGGAATAGCAGGAATAAAATTACAAGCTTCAAAACCGAAAGGAAGAACTTTTAGTGTGGCTAAAAGTTGCTAAGCAATAGTTCTTTTAGTTGTATTCTAAGAAATTTAAAAATAAATGTTTGATTGCTGGTGGTAATGCAAAATTGTATAAACCCAATGAAGTGGCATTTGACAATGCCTAGCATTTACTCTTGGTTATGGGCTGAATTGAGTCCCCTCTCAAATTCATTTGTTGAAGTCCTTACCTAAGAAGTACTTCAGAATGTGACTATTTTTGCAAATAGGACCTTTAAAGAGGTAATTAAGGCAATATGAGGTGATGTAGGTACACCGTCATCCCATATGACTGGTGTCCTTATAAGAAGAGATTAGGACACATACAACAGCAGGAGGAAAGACCTTGTGAGTGATGCGGGGTCGGTGAGCCGAGGAGTCGAAAGAAAGATTTCTTAGACTCTTAAGATCTGGCAGTAGTGCTCTTTTATTTAGAGAGTAGAATAGCATGGGCACAGGACCCATGGGCTGGCAGAGCTGGTGCGTGGGGACAGGACCCACGGGCAGTCAGAGCTCCTGCTGCTGCCCCGAGTTGAGGGTTAGGACTAAATTTAAGGCATAGGTATGTGAGTCATCTCTTTACAAGACAAAGGAAAGAACATAAAAAAAAAAGTTAAAATGGCATCAGTGCAGGTGGGGTCTGGCCATTGGGTGATCCCATGACTTTTAGACAAGAATCAAATCGGATTAAGTAAAGGTTAGAAAGGTTAGACGCCACCACCCTAAACCAGTTACATGAGATTGCCAGACAGCAACCAACTTAAGTTCTTGCCTTCCCCATTAAGAGTTTCTAGGGACAAGGTCATCTCTCCTCTTCTTCCTGGTACAGAGAGAGAGGCACCTTTTACATGTACAGATTTACCTTACAAATGTAAATGTGTCCCAACAAGGGCAAGTTCCATTCCCCAGAGCCTCCTTCCCTGTCCCAGTTTATCAAAAGCAATCAGCCCCAAACAATCCCGATGCCAAAGAGACATATCCTGGGGTGGCCAATTTCAGGTCCCTACAAGGTCATCCCCCCCTTCCTTCACAAGTGCAAATGTCTCTCAAAAGGGCAAGCAAAATTCCAGTCCTCGGAGCCTGCTTCTCATCTGTAGTTTTAAAAATAACCAGCCTAAAATCCTCATCATGAGCACACAGCAAGAAGGTGGCCATATCTGTAAGCCAAGAAGAGAGGCCTCAGAATAAACCAAACTTCCCAACACCTTGATCTTGGATTTCTAGCCTCCAGAACTGTGAAAAAATAAATTTCTGTTGTTTAAGTTCCCTAGTCTGTAGCATGTTGTTATGGCAGCCCTAGCAAACTAACGCACTCTTGAACACATACTCCGGAGCTATACTTCTGCAAAAAATGAAACAGCATATAATTAAAATTATTCTTTGTGATAATATTTATAACAGCAAAAAAAGGAAACAACCTAATTTCCTTCCACAGGAGACCAGTAAACTATGGTATATCCACACAATGGAGTATGATGCAGCCACAACAGACAGTGAAGAAGACCTCTGTGACCTGATATGAAGTGACTTACAGGATGTACTCTTAAGTGAAAAAAAGCAAGGTACAACAGAGTGTGTATGTTATGCACATATATGTTATATACATATATATATATGTTACCTATTGTATTAGAAAGAGAAAAAATATGTATGTATTTGCTTATTTTGGCAAAAAATAAACACAGGAAGGATAAATAAAAAATGGCAATGGGACATGATATAGAGTCGGGGGTAGGTAATGAGCTAGAGAAGATAGGAATGGGAGTGCAATATCCCTGGTATATCTTTTTATGTAGTTTGATTTTTGAATTATATAAATGTTTTACAAATTCAAAACTAAATTAAATTGAAAAGACTGAAAGAAGCAAACCCTAAAATTGAATACAATCAGGAAAAAATAAACGTAACCACTTATCAAATTGACAACATAACCATGCAGGTAAAAAGAATTAGAGTAACTTTTGAAGACAGTAATCTGAATGGGATATACTCTATGGATCAAAAGATCTGTAACAAAATCTGGAACTTAGTAGGTTTGTTCCTAGGATTGGTATTGGAGTACTGAAATTATTTTATTTGTGTTGTAGGATAGAGCAAAAGAAAAAATACGTTGAAATAGTTGGGAACTTGGCTTCTCCCTGTTTAAGAAAAGAGACATAAGTGTATAATAGGGAAAGGTGAGGAAGAACCCTGAAATTTCAGGACACAGTCATGACCTCTGTATCAGTAGCACTGAGCACACCTAGAAATTAGGTCTATTTCTAAATACCACTCTTCACTAAAAACAACAAGGCTGCCTGGGCAAATGGCCATTTCTAAGTTTGGAGCAAGGAAAGCACAAGATGACCCCAGAATATATAATACCAGAAATCAAGGGAGTGCTCAAAGACTACAAAAGACATGTCTAAAGGACACAGGACCAGTCCTGAAGGGGCTCCCGGTGGCCGCATTTGAGACAATTTGGGCATCCCAAAGAATAATATATAACACGTTAATAACATATAATAATATAATAATATATAATACATTGAATTTTTAAAAATCCGTATGTCCATAGTGATACTGGAAAAAAAAGCAAAGCAAGAGGAGGAAGGAAAGCCCTTCTTTACAGAAGAATGCTAACTAGTATATACAGAATGGGTGATAAAATGACATATTTATCATTTTGCAACTACCAATACAATAATTGATTCAAGTAAAGATCATCAATGGTGGCTGTTAACTAGACTTACTGTGGAGATGATTTCATAATATATACATATATGTAATCATTATGTTGTACACCTCCTGAAGCTAATATGTTATTTGTCAATAATATCTCAATAAAAAAATAGAAAACTAAAAGAAGATCATCAATGGTAAACTATTATTGGAGAGCAGAGTATTAATACATTTCAAAATATTACATCACACTAGATTTACTTATTAATTACAAAGGGAAAAAATGTCTACAATGAAGAACTTCAGCAGATGCCACTTTACCAAGTAATTAAAGTTAGCATCAAGGGGCGGCCCTGTGGCCGAGTGATTAAGTTCACAGACTCTGCTTCAGCAGCCCAGGGTTTCGCCGGTTCAGATCCTGGACACAGACATGGCGCCACTCATCAGGCCATGCTGAGGCGGGGTCCCACATGCCACAATTAGAAGAACCCACAACTAAAATATACAACTATGTACTGGGGGGATTTGAGGAGAAAAAGCAGAAAAAAAAAAGATTAGCAACAGTTGTTAGCTCAGGTGCCAATCTTTAAAAGAAAAATGAAATTCCTTAAACTTAGCATCACCAATGGGACAAATAACATCAATTGTATCTACTGTGATAAAATGAGAAGTATACAACGTCACCTATGCAGTATACAAGCCAAAAATATTTAACCTGTATCCAAACCTAAGAAACCAATCAGACAAATCCAGATTGTTGAACATCCTTCAAGACTACTGGCATGGGCTTTTGAAAAATGTCAGTGTCATAACAATGTTTAAAGACTTGGGGGAGGGGGACTGTTTTAGATGATAGGAGATAAAGAGACATTAAAACTAAACGTAACCCTTGATATGTTCCTGGATTGAAAAAATAGGAAGAAAAGGTCATTATTGGGTCAATGAAGGAAAATTTGAATATGGACTGTATATTAAGTAATATTATTATATCAGTGTTAACTTTATTGGTGTGATAACAGGAACATGGAAAGATAGAATAATCATAATTTTTCAGATACATGCTGAAGTACTTAGGGTTGAAATGTCATAATATCTGTAACTTACATCAGATAGTTCAGCAAATAAACAAATAACTTCTTGAAGTTTTATAATTTTAGGTTTTACATTTTGATGTATAATCCATATTGAGTTAATTTTTGATATATGGTGTGAGTTACAGATTAAAGTTCATTTTTTTGCATATGAATATAAAATTGTGCCAGTACCATTTATTGAAAGACTATCCTTTCTCTACTTAATTGCCGTTGCACTGTTATCAAAAATCGGTGGACCATATGTGTATTGTTCTATTTCTGACCTCTCTATTCTGTTCCATAGATCTTTTTATCTTCCTTGACACCAATACTTCACTGTCTTGATTACTGTAGCTTTACAGTATGTCTTAAAGTCAGACAGTATAGTTCTCCGACTTTGTTATGCCTCTTCAAAGTGTTTTTAGTATTCTAGGACCCTGTCATTTTCACATAAATTTTAGAGTCAGCTTGTCAATTTCTACAAAAAAGCCTATGGGTATTTTGACTGAGAAAGCATTGAATCTATAGATCAGTTTGGAGAGAATTGATGTCTTGAGAATTGACAATATTGAGTCTTCTGATCCATGAATGCATTGTATTGCTCCATTTATTTAGGTCTTTTAAAATTTCTCTCACCGTTATTTTGTAGTTTGCAGTATAGAAATATTAAACATCTTATGTCAGGTTTACCCCTAACTACTTTATATTTCCCGATACAATTGTAAATTATGTTTTTACTATACCATTTGTTGCTAGTATATAGAAATACAATTGATATTTGTAAAATGATCTTGTTTCCTGCAAGTTTGCTAAACTCACTAATTTGTTCCAGTAGGTTTTTGTAGCTTCCCTAGGATCTTCTACATGGATGATCATATTATCTGTGGATAAAGGCAATTTTACTTCTTGCTTTCCCAGTGGACACCATTTATTTCTTTTTCTTGCTTATTGTACTGGCTAGAGTCTCCATATAAAGTTGAATAGAAATCGTGGAGCAGACATCTTTGACTTATTCCTGATTGTGAAAGAAAAGCATTTAGTCTTTTTCCATTAAGTATGATGTTAGCTGTAGGTTTATTGTAGATACTGTTTACCAAGTTGAGAAAGTTTTCTTCTATTCTTTGTTTGCTGAGATTTTTTTTTTTTTTTCAGTCAGGAATGGATATTGGATTTTGTCACATACGTTTTCCTGTACCTACTGAGATGATCATAGATAGGTCATCTTTAAGTCTTTCCTTTTTGTCTCTTAATATGTCTGAAAAGTATTTCACTTTCATTTTGAAAGATATTTTTGTGGACTACAGAATTCTAGTTTAACAGTATTTTTCTTTGAGTGCTTTAAAGATGTTCTACACTCTCTTCTTGTTTGCATAATGTCTGACAAGAAATCTGTGTCATCCTTATTGCTGTTTCTCTGTATGTAAACTGTCATTTTTCTCAGGCTTCTTTTAAGATTTTCCCTTTAGCACTGGTTTTAAAGATTTTATTTTTTCCTTTTTCTCCCCAAAGCCCCCTGGTACATAGCTGTATATTCTTTGTTGTGGGTCCTTCTAGTTGTGGCATGTGGGATGCTGCCTCAGCATGGTTTGGTGAGCAGTGCCATGTCCGCGCCCAGGATTCGAACCAACGAAACACTGGGCCGCCTGCAGCGGAGCGCGCGAGCTTAACCACTCGGCCACAGGGCCAGCCCCTCACTAGTTTTAAACAATATGATTAGGCTGTGCCTTGGTGTAGTTTTCTTCATGTTTCTTGTGCTTGAAGTCCATTGAATTTCTTGGATCTATGACTTTATATTTTTCATCAAAGTTGAAAATATTTCAGGCATTAGTTTTTCAAATATTTTGTCTCTCTCTTTGCCTTCTTTCCTTTAGCAACTCTAATTTCACACATATGTATGTGTCCCATGGTTCAATGCTTTATTTTTTTTCTTATTCTTCTCTTTTTAGTCTTCTGTACTTCATTTTGGACAGTTTCAATTGCTATGTCTCCAAGTTCACTTATCTTTCCTTCCATGATGTCTAATCTGTTGTTAATTTCATTGAGTATATGTTTTATTTCAGATATTTTAGTTTTCATTGTAGAAGTTCAATTAAAAACTATCTTCTGAGTGTTTAATATCTAAAGTATTTCTTCTAGTTTTCTGAACACAAGGAATACAGTTAACATAACTGTTTTACTCTCCTTATTTACTAATGCTATCATCTATGTCATTTTTTAGTATTTTTTTGTTTGATTTTTTTTTTCTCCTCATGATGGGTTTTATTTTTTTGATTCTTTGCATGGCTGGTCATTTTTGATTAGATGTCCAACATTATGAATTTTATCTTGTGAGATCTTGGATACTTTTGTATTATTAAAAAAATTGTTGCACTTTGTTCTGGAATATCATTATTTGGAAACAGTTTGACACTTTGAGCCTTGCTTCTAAGTTTGTTTGGTGGGACCAGAACAATATTGGTCCTAGGGTTAATTTTTCCCCACGACTGAGGTAAGAACCTTCTTATTACTAACCTGATCATCATGAATTAGAAGGTTTCCCACTCTGGATGATGGGAATGGCCGCTATCCTGGCCTTATATGAACCCCAGGATAGTTTGCTCTTGTCCTGTAAGGCAGTTCGTTCCTGAGTCTCAGATAATTTCCCTGCTCACATGCTTGATCAGTTACTGACTGAAACCTTGAAGGGGACCTTCTGTAGATTTCAGTTCTCTGTGCAATTCTCTCCTCTCCGGCTCCGCTCTGAGAAGCCTAGCTGGTTTCCCAGCTCTGTCTCCTCACCTCAGGGAGACCACCTGAGTTCTTCTCTCTGTGTCATGGCCTGGAAAGTCTCTCCCGACAGTAAGCTAAGCAATCCTAGGGCTCACCTTGTTTGTTTTCCATCAGCCAGAGATCACTGGCCTTCGTGGCTTAATTCCAATATCTTTGAGAGATGTTGTTTCATATATTTGCCCAGGCTTTTTAATTTTTTTTTTCAGTTGTTTTATACAACAGGGTAGATCTGGTCCCTGATACTCCATCTTGGTCAAAAGCAGAAGTCCTGCACTATTGTTATTATGCATTTTAAAATTTCCCCTGAGGGAACCTCCAAATGATCTGCTTTCACAGGCTGTTCAAGTTATCTCCCATGTAATAAGTACTGTTTTTGTTAGTGCTCTAGTTACAAAGTTGAATGTGTTTTTCTCCATTTCCCTTTTATTTTAACAGGCAACATTATGGTATGCAATGTTTCTGAGGAATGTTTTTGAGGAATGAGTATACTGTGGTATATAACCTATACAATTTAAGAACCTATGCTATGGTTGGCATATACTTTAGGCAAAAGCAGAGAGTATTTAAAGATATATTTTTACTAACATTTTCAAAAATGAAACTATATCGTCAGATCTTTGAGAGTAGGTTTTATTTTGTGTTAGTCATTGTATTGTCCTTTCCCATAGTGCCTGGCACAGAAAAACCATTTGTTGGTTTGCTGTGATATATTTGTTGGCAGTCTGGGAATATATTCTTATTTTCATTACTGTGATTATAAGTAGCTATCATGGATTGGTTGTCTGCTGTAAGTTAGGCATTCTCTATAGCCAGGCACTTTCTACAATATCTAATTCAGTCTTCACATTGCTCTGTGATATAGGGATTTTTAATCCCTCTTTATAGACAGGGAAATGGATTCAGGGAAGATAAATCACTTGCTCAAGACCTCACGGCTAGTAACTGGTACTACTGAGAGTCCAAACCCGAGCCTGTCTGATTCCAAAGCCCGAGCTCCTTGTATTGCTTCATCCTCTGTTTCATGAAACATAACAAAGCTTAGCAGTTCTTTTCTCTAACAGAAACCTCTTATTTTTCTTTCATTCTCTTAAAAAAGGGAATGAAAAGAAAATCATTTTAGGACAAGACAGTCCAATGTGCAGCAGAATTGGTGCAGCAAGTATGCATCTTGTGTTTTCTGAATTTCCTCAGGGATCAGATTTGAGTCCAGGGTGATTTCACATGTCTGTATTATACTCGAAGACCAGGAATAGATTATGTTCAATAAACACAGTACGCTAAAAATATGCCAGAATCCCTTGTTTCCTTTTAAAATAACCTTTCCAGTTTCTACCAATAGAGATGTATTTACTTGTCAAGCACACCCCAGTTCTTTCAGTCAAGAGAGGAAACGTATTTTACTTGGAGACTCTTTCCAGAGCTATGCGAGGGCCTCTCTTAGGAAGGGCCCAAACTAGATGAAAAATTGAGTTTTGATCTCAAATTATTTCTTAATAATGTTGTGGTATAGGCTGAGCAGGCATATTCCCTGAAAAAGGGAGGATAAAATTATATTGACGTCAGGATGGCGCGTTTTACAGTTTCCCACACTTTACTCCTCCACTGCCAAGAATCTAGATTTTGAATTACTTGGGGGTTGGGTTTGAGCCTGGGAGGGCCACAAGCGGGGGCCTGTCACTGGAGGAAGTCAAGGAACATGAGCCCAGATTGGATTGTCCTCACCGGGGGAAAAGGAGCCCAGTTCATGGACAGGGCCCAAAGTTTATCTGAATTGCCTTCCACCTCAGTCAGGGTTTATCATCAGGTCATTGGTGCCTATCACTGTGGCAATAAGGGATTATTTTTATTAAGCATTTTGTGTTTGTCCAAGAGCTTTCAGTCATTAATCATTTAACTCTTGTTCCCCATGAGACTTTTGTGAAGCAAATGGGAAAAAAATAACACAATTCTTATTTTACAGATAGAGAAACTGAAGCATTTTTGCTTGCCACTATTACACACTAAAAGAGCTAAAGCTGTACATTGGAATTTGGGAGAACCAAGCCAAGAATTTGATGAGCCTTTTGTTCCACCACAGAAATGAGTTTTTCTGTTTTTACATAAAACGGACTTGCATATTTTTCATTTTGAAAGCAACGTAATTGATAGGAGGTATACTGACGAAAAGAACAGACTTCGCTTTCTTACATTATATGGAATAAAAATTTTACTGAGTTCCCACAAAAAATTTGGAATTCAAATATGCATTTCAGTTTAAGTAGTAAAGATGGTAAGGCATTGCTAATCTTGAGATTTCTAATAAGAAAGAGAATATAAGCAAATACATCCAGTGTGGTTGTGAATAGCCAATGGCAAGTTATAAAGGGACTTTGAGAGGGTGGCACTGGGATTTTGCTGCTTGGAATTAATCTGGTGGGCTTCCTGGAGGGGGTGTGTCTTGAATTTCAATTAAAAAAAGATTTCAAAGATGATATGTCCTTTAGCCCAGATGCTTTGAAATATCTTTGCCGTTTCTCTCTATGGAGTGTAAACACCACAAAAAAATTGTCAAATATCACAAGAAGGAGGAATTGACCGAGGGGTCCACAAGGGCATGTTTCAGAGTAACGGAGAGGAAATGAAGAAAAGTTTTCTGACAGCGAGATCCTTCATATCTGTTAACAATGAGGTAGTTCGAGGGCAGAGAGGGGAGGGTTGTAGGGGGAGGGGTGTCAGGAAAAGCCACTTAAACCAGACTAGATAAAACACAGAAAGATCCCTTCAGGAATCAGCATGCCCTCTGGTGGGGGTAGGGAATACAGTTAGGGCTAGGACTAATTCACTCCCTTTGGCATAAGACAGACCTTGGATTCAAATCCATTTGACTAAAGTCTCAGGTTCTCCTTTTTAAAATGGTGTGAACAAGGCCTACCTTATAAGTTGATGAATGAAATAAAAGAAAGTATTTACATGGTGCATGGTGCCAGAGGCACATTTGGGTTATATTGGGTCTAAAGCTTATACAATATTGAAGGCCTTCTTTAAGAAAAAGAGTATACAATTCTGGTTATAAAATTAGGTAGTAAAGCGACTATTTAGAATAAGAAAAGAAATCACAAAAAATCACTTAATAAAACCCCAAAAACTGACAAATATCACGAACATCACAAAATCCAGGAAAACAACATGAAGTACCTGAAATACCTCTATTTTATATGGGTGTGTGTGTGTGTGTGTGTGTGTGTGTGTGTACATGCATATAGATATATGTATGCTGCATATTTTGATGGCCTTTTCATATGGCAAAATTTTTTAATATATTGCATAGAAAGAATGGAAACATTTCAACTTTCCTCTGATATAATTCACTGAAATTTGGTTTTTATTATTGATAATTTAGGAAAAAAATTTTCAGCACCACACCTAGTTGCTTGTAATGTCATGCACAATTTTATGATTGTTGTCAAATTTGGGCAAACTTCTATCGAAGTTTTTCATGGGAGAGTTGTAAGATTTTGATGTCTTCCATGGATTAGCTTCTGACTCTGTAGATTTCCAATCTTGTTTCTCCTCCATTATCCTCCTGGTTTGGGGACTGGGCATAGTAGGATGCATTCACATCCCAGCGTGGTATATTTTGGTCCCCCAGCTCACTGGGTGAACAGACAATGATAAGAATGTTTCTGGAATCCATTCCTACAACTGGGTGGGTAGCAATCAACTATACACAGAAGTGATGTGAACTACACAATACATCCTACTCCACTCAAGCCAAATGTATCTTCAACTCAACTCCAAAGCCAACCTACACAAAGGGAAATGTGACAGAAGGGACCTCAGGGCAGCATTAAGTAGTTGGTGTTAAATACCTTTATTTTGTAAACTTTACAAAAACATGTGACCATGCCCACACATTGACAGAACCTCTCCCAAGGACTTGGAAGGCGCTCATGCCAGTAGCTTCATAGTCAACTGCCTCTATATGTCATATCAACATGCTGAACGGTTCTGTCCCACCATACTGACAAGATGGCGGTGGGGAGTCGGGGTTACAAATTCCAGAGACTCCCTGAAGGCAACACCTTGTCCACTTACAGAGATGGGACTTGTCTCCTTCAGCCATGGTGAATCTAAATTAAATGGAGTCTTGAGGATCTGATGGTGGCATACCAGAAGGAAACTCTTTGTTCCTCTTGTATTTTGCTGTTTTCTTCCCCCAGCGTCAGCTGGTTATATTTGAGTTCAAAACTCCCCTTTGAAATTGCTGCGATTTACCTGACTCTGAACTCTTTCATCTTTCAGAAAATCCCTCCTTGGGGCACTTCAGTCCCCTTGGAGCACTGTGATACCTGGAGGTGATAGAGGGAAGCTGGTAAGTTTGTCAAACCTGCCTCAGCGTCACTGCACATGGTCCTGGGCAGAGACACTTTCAAGGCTGGTGCAAGCAGCACTTGGGAAAGAGGGGCCTCGTGGTGTGATGGTCATTTCAGAAATGTAACCCCTCCGAAACGTGCTGCCCAGGCTCTTGTGAGAAGGTAAAACAAATAAAGCTGCCGCCTATTTGGAACATACGCTGGCTCCTTCCACATCTGCAGGACATTTAGCTCCTTGCATCTGGTAATGTTTGTGCAAATATAATTCCATATTCACTAATAATTCCTGGGGCTAAAGGCCCCGCCTTGGGTAACCTTGTTAATATTCTCTCAAGGCCTGGTGTGAACGCCTCATAGCATTTTGATTAGAATTCAATCTTGTGTTTTTTTCCCCTCTCTGTCTCTTTCTCCCTCTCTCCTCTCGTGCTTTTCTGGCCCCCGGTTTCCTGGCCACCCACATCAGGAGACATTCTCCCTCCCTTCCACTCTCCATTCTCAGTTTCAAGGAATTTCCTTGTGTCAAAGGCAAAGTGTGATTGACATATTTTTCCCCCCTTAAGAGCAGTCATCTCAGTGTTGGATTTAACCATCTCCTTATGGGGCTCATATAGTCATTACCTGGGTGAAAAAGAGACCTCCTGCTCACCCTCATGCTCACTCACCAGGCTCAGACCCACACAGCTCTGTATTTTTATAGACTTTTAAGTTGCTGCTCTCCTTCCCTTTTTCTACCTTTTTTTTTTTTTTTTGGTCGGCACTAGCTAATGATTCCCTGGTGCGTTGTACCCTGGGCCTTCAAGAATTTTAGTTATCCACAAACAGGTAGACCAGCTGCCTCCTGCCAGTGCCCTCTGCCTGCCAAGAAAAGCATTTGCTATTCTTTAGACCCGGTGAAAGAAAGGATGCATAAGGAATCTTCTAGATTCGAATTCACCAACTCTAGGCAGGTTGTGCTCCTTTGGTCCTTAGTCTTATTTGACCAGCATATTTGTCTCTCAGAAGAAGAAAATAGGAAACAAAAACAAAAGCAAATTTTCCATAGCGTGAGGAATTATATTTAAATCCAAGAAGAATTTCTTGTGAGCGAGCTTCTTAATGCTGGAGTGATTTGGGAATGCATGCACTCTCTCTCAGGCTGCCTTATCATCGAATTACTGTGGGTTGGAATGTTTTCTGCCTGCAGGGGATGAACTAGATGACCTTGGAAGGTCACATGCAGCTTTTCACTCCAGCAGCAATCCCCCTCTTTTCTGTGAAGGGCCACACTTCTCACAGTGTTGGAGCAGACTCTGTCTTAAGGGGATAACTCATGTCTCTCTGGAGTAGCCTGAAACACAGCCCCCTATTTCACCTTGATGAATCAAGTCTCCTGCTGCTGATTATGATATGCTGCCTACTCAAAGCTCCCAATTGCAGGCAGCTCTATTGTTGTGCAATCATTATATATTTAAGTAGGCTCCTGCCCCAAATCCCACTGTTTCAAAAGGAAATGAAGTGCTAGAAGATAAAGGTTTGGATTTGCAGTAACAAAATTGATGTTTTTTCCTGCTGGAATTTCAGTAATAAATGGAGTTTTAATACAAAACTGTAAGTGTGTAGCTACAATATCTTAATTCATGGTACAAAGCCAGCATTCAGTGACATTTCACTTCTAATCAGGAGTAATTGTCTATCTATAGTGATTACAGAAAGCACTCTTATTAACATAGTGTGAAATAAATACTTGCTTGTCATAATTATCATCTGTGTTATGATAAACAAAGCATAAAGCCAACCAAGCAAAGCAGGCATATGTTCTTACATTGCCAGTAACAGCAGGGTGTGTATTATAAATTATGTTTTTGATTGATGTTGTATCCTATAGCTTTAGGGGATCTTAACTATAGCAGAAATGCCAGTACTCCCCATTATATAAACGCTAATAAGAATACACGTCAGTCCATGGTCCACCCAGACCAGTATCTGAGTCTGAAAGTGGAATTATGGGATTGTGTATGGAAAGTAATGATTACCCTAAAAAAATAATGACCCAAAAGGTTAGGATGGACTTCAAGACATTTCTAGCTATCTCAGTTTCCTATTACAGGTTTCTAAGAGCCATTCATTGACGTCAAGACCTGAAGAACTCATATGGTCTACAATGTACCTAAATCTTTTCTGTACCAATTTGTGTTTTCAACCTGTATTCTAACCTGAGATAATAGGTTTCATAAATTCACTACCTGCTTTGTGGGGTAGTACTTCCTTTTATTTGTTGTGTAGCTGCTTCTTTCAAACTCAAGAAGTTTCACCAAGTTCTAGTACTCCAGGATTTGGTTTAAACGTCTTTGTTTCACCATTTCTATATTCTCATGACTTGGAAAACTTTAATCAGATTTTTATTTCATACTCCACCCATCCATCTATTCCCTTCACCACCACTTTTATCTTTCCAGATAGATAAATAAGAATTTTCAGAGCTTGTCTTCATGTAGAATCCCTTCCTCTCCTCAAAAATGTTTTAGCTGATGATGTCTGGAACCTTCTTCAGTACCAAAATCATGGTGACCGGTATTGTATATCTCAGTTCATGTTGGTCTAGGCTGGGATTTTGTTAGAAGAGTAGGTGTAATATATCCACGTCCTTTTACTCAGCATTTCTGCACTATTTCTGTGTTTAATTATTAGTTGATCACCATTAATACGTTTAATAGCTAAACTGGTCATTTCTAATTTTTTGAGCAGTGGAAATAATTTTTCAAACAAAAAGCTATATGAAATGCAAAAATATGAATATAGTGTAAGTAGTGGGAGTTGAGGACCAAAGCCTACCCCATTTGGTCTCTGAGGTACTCCCTGAAACTAGAAAGTTCCATGAAACATGCTTTGAAACATCACCAAGCTCACCAATCACCAAAGTGAGCACCAATCTGTGCTCACTTAAAGCTAGAACTTAGTCTAGAAAACATGCATCCACATTTCCTTAACTAATTCTTTCTTTACAAAACATTTAATTTTGAAATGTTTCCTTTACTTCGAGTCGCTCAAACACCCCCTAAGCCTCATGGTTCATTGAGGGCACATACATGGGTCAGCACATGTTTCACTGACCTGGTAACACTCACCTGTGTGACAGCAGGAACCCGGTCCACTTCGGAGGTGTTCTTACCCTCTGGTGTTTCTCAGGGGGTCTCTAGGAGGTGTCTTGCTTATGCTTCCCATCATTAGTGACAACTTAGATACATTATCTCTTAGTGTAAAGTGGCTCTGCTGCTCCGGAACATTCTCTGTGGTTCCGTGTAGGCCAGTGCTCTCTGAGGCCATGGGAGCCACCGCCACACGGCCTCTGGGTACTCCTCTCCCCTCTTCCCAAAAGTGGACACAGACTCTTTCTTTAATACCCTACAGCAGCCAAGAACAGGTTATAACACTTAACATCACTTTTTATGGTACAGCCTCAGGTATAACCAAAAGGAAGTATACACCAAAGTCATCCTTTGGCTGTTGACTGTACATCCTTAGGCAGTCCACTATAGGCCACATTTCTGCCCAGTTACTGCAGAAAAACATTCCACTCATATCCATTCTCTCCTTTTTTTACAGCAAAATTTTATCTGAGATGGTGATGAAGCAGACTGAAAGTATATCTTTGCTCTTTGCTTCTCTTGCAGGTAGGTATAGACAAAAGACTAAGTTCTGGGTAACATAACAGAAGTGGACTTCCAGGAAGGCTCCTTGCAGGAGCAGATACAACTGGGAGATGCTTCCTTTTTGCCTTTTCTACTGCCTGAAATGAGGATGTGATGACAGGGGTTATGGAAGCCCTCTTAGAACATGAGGTGGTCTTTAGGGTGGAAGCCAAATGTGGGGGATGGTAGAGCAGAGAGAAGGAGATGAAGTCCTTGATTATTTGGTGATAACTAAATCTTAGATAACTAATGTTAGAGTACAGTAGTCCCCTCTTATCTGCAGGAGATACATTCCAGGACTCCCAGTGGATGTTTGAAACCTTGGATAGTACCAAACTCTATATATACAGTCACGTGTCACTTAATGACAAGGTTAAGTTCTGAGAAATACGTCATTAGGTGAACATCATCGAGTGTACTTACACAAATCCAGATAGTATAGCCTACTCCAAACCTAGGGTCTGCAGTACTAATCTTATGGGACTGCTGTTGTATATGCAGTCCATCGTTGACCAAAATGTCATCATACAGTGCACGATTGTACTATGTTTTTCCTATACATACATACCTGTAATAAAGTTTAATTTGTAAATTAGGCACGGTAAGAGATTAACAACTATACCTAATAATAAAATAGAACAATTATAACAATATACTGTAATAAAAGTTACCATAGATGTTAGCTACATCGGCATATGATTTTTTTCCTTTCCTTATTAATTCAAGAATTTTCACCTTTTCACTTAAAGAAAGCACTTTTGGTTTCTCTTTGGCATATCCGAATTGCCAGAATTACTACTCTTGCTCTTTGGGGCTCTCATTGTGTAAAATAAGGGTTACTTGAACACAAGCACTGTGATACTATGACAGTCGATCTGATAACTGAGACGGCTACTAAGTAACTAACAGGTGGGTAGATACACTAGACAGAGGGATGATTCACATCCCGGGCGGGACAGAGCAGGATGGCGTGAGGTTTTATCATGCTGCTCAGAAGGGCATGTAATTTAAAACTTATGAATTGTTTATTTCTGGAATTTTCCATTTAATAGTTTTAGTTGACCACAGGTAACTGACAATGCAGAAATTGAAACCAAGGATAAGGGGGCACTACTGTAGTTACTTCTGGACTTCTTGGTGTGAGGTTGGGTTTTCTGTAATCTGTAGGCAAACCTAATCATGACACAGCAGCTATGAGCCCACCTCCCTCCCTTGCTGTGGGGCTGCTTAGCTCCTGACCTAGTTGCATATGGCAGAATCTTGCTTCTCTCCATCATGTGGGAAGGCCTTCTAGACTCCTCAGTGCCTCTTCCCAAGCAAACCAGAGCTCGGAGAGAGGAAGTCATTTTCTCGTTACCCAAAGTCCAAGACCCACCTGCCAATTTTTTCATCTCCTGATGCAGAAGCTGCCTCTTTTTCAGCATAATTGAGAGTTATAATGATTATTCCCTCAGACCCTACTCTCTGCCCACAGGGGTGTGGGCCTCACCTGCTACTGCCAATAGTAAGCACATCAGGCTCAAGTTCCAGCCACAGCTCAGTTCCTTCATCTGATAAATGGGGAAAATTTAAAATAAACATAAACCACAAATGGTTTTAAAATATACTGTTAGGTATTAGTTTTGGCATCCCTGCTGGAGTGCTTCTTAAATTTTGTTTTTGGCTCATCTTATTTTTGGCTCATCTTACCTATATGGGCATCTTCTTAGTTACACAGCAACACATAAATATAAACCCAGAACTGCACACACAGACTGGTGCATTTACACATACCTGCACACATCGATTTTTATATGCATCTACTCCCACATTGATATGTATACCCTTAAGCATATAATCTGGCACATCGATACACAAGCTCAAAAGAATATGGATTCAGGTTTGGTTAATAGGAAATACAAGGAATGGGTAGATATAGCAGCTAAAAAGACTAGGCAGGTAGATTACAAAAGAGCAAAGTAACCCCCATGGTGCTCATTTTTAATGGCATCACAATAATGTAAATTTTCTATCTGCTCCCAGGGTAGGCTTAATGAGGCTGATGAGGGAGAAGGGCCTAATGTACAGCCCAGCACTGCTGCTAAGCTGATCTGCATCAACTTGGCCCTCTCACTGGTCACTTCTTCCTGGTAAAAGTGTCACGAGCTCTCATGAACGCCTCTACAGTAACAGGGAACTGCAGTCCTGTTTTCCAGCCTCATCATAGGTGCCCAGCAAGATTTTGAAATGTGAATGAATGATTAATATACCTGCATAGAGCTCTCTCCCCCAAAAGACTGTCTGAACCTCATTGGGTACGCGTCGGGGAGGGAGAAGAAGCAAAGTGGCCGCCGGGATCCAGGAGGGCACCACAAGGAGCTGGGTAGTGGGGAAAGGGAGCTTACGTAGAGATAAGAGGCCTCTGTGGTGACAGCTGCTGTCCCTGGCCTGGGATCTGGGGTGGGCTTATAACTCTGCGAAGGTAAAGATTTTCTAGGATGTCATCCAAGGAATAAGACATCCATTGCTCTCCTGGACAGACAGAAAGACCGAGACATTTTGTTTTTCCTTTCATATTTTCATCTTTCACCTCTTTACATCCTCAACTGTTCCTCTCCTGTCCTGGTGTTTGAACTTGTTGAATACTTGTACGTTTTAAACCACAGCCTGGCCCTGCTGTCTTTTAGCCAAATTACACACATTTAGGTCTTTTCATCTTTCTTTATGAACAAGTCCCTTTAGTCATTTTAATCATTTTGGCAGTTCTTTTCTGAATTCCACCCAATTTAAAAATAAGCTGAATTCTCCACCCCTGTGGATTTGAAAGCAGGCTGCTACAAACCCATGCAGAGCTCCAGCTTTGGTTTGATGCATATAGAGGAAAGATAACCCCAGGCTTTTAAACTCTATTCTCAGTTTTTCTCAGCAGTGACAGCCTGAAAACGGCAGAGGAGGTAGAGAAGGGGCGGGAAACGTGGCTTGCAGAGCTGGAGACCACAGTCAGTGTGTTGGGGCTGGTTTTTAAGTTTTCTTGTTGAATGATTGATAAATTAGTCGATTGGTATAGGTTATAGTCGTATTTAGTTCAGAATCCAAAAGGTACAAAAGTGTATACAATGAACAGAAAGTATTGCTTCTCTTGCTGTCACCTAGTCACCCAACTCTAAAGAAGCAGCCAAAGTAATTTGTTTCTGTGTATCTTCCCAGAGGTATTTTATGTATATACATTCACACGTGTTTATAAATATAAATATAAATGTTCATTAATTGTGGACTACAAGATTATAGTACATTTATAGTATAGATACTATGTAGCCATAAAAAGTACTGAAGGAGCTATTTATGTGTAAATACGGACCAATCTTCAAATCCCCAAGATATATTGCTAAGAGAAAAAGCAAAGAGGACAGCAACATTTATATTCCTTCCAATTGTTTGTAGTCACTGTCAATGAACATTTAAGGACTTTACCAATTTTTTAATACTGACAGTGCCTCACTGAATAACTTAATACATTTTGCACATGTGTGAGTAGATATATAGGATAAAATTCTTGGGTTAAAAGGTATGTGCATCAGCAGTATGATAGCTACTGACTGATTTCTCAACTTTTACACCCACAACTAATGTATGAGCATAATTATTTCCTCATACCCACACACATGCAAATTTCTAGAACTTTGACAATCTAATAGAGGGGTAAAGTCATTTTTCTGTAAAATTTTTCTTATTATGAATGAAATTATGGGTTTTTTGACAAATTTAAGAGCCATTTGTTCTCTTTTCAGTGGACAGTCTATTTCCTTTCTTTATATTTCTATTGAGTTGTTGGTCTTCTATTGATTTAGAGGAGTTCTTTATATGTTAGTGAGATTTGCTTCTTGTGATATAAATTGCAAATATATTTTCCTCTTAGTCATTCTTTTCTATTTACATAAATGAATATATTCACCTTTTACTTTATGGTTCCTGGGTTTGGATTTTCTGACATACTTAAACAAGTTTTTCTCACTTTGAGATTGTTTTTTGTTTTTTGTTTTTTTGGTGAGGAAGATTGTCCCTCAGCTAACCTCTGTGGCAATCTTCCTCTATTTTGTATGTGGGACACCACCACAGCATGGCTTGATGAGCAGTGTACAGGTCCTCACCCGGGATCTGAACCTTCGAACTCTGGGCCACTGAAGCAGAGTGCATGAACTTAGCCACTACACCACCAGGCCAGCCCTGAGATTGTTTTTAAAAATCTCATGGTTCCTTCTAGTACTCATAAATGACAGTAAGTCCAACTTTATGTTTTTCCAGATGGCTACCCAGTTGTCCCAACATCATTTACTGAATAATCTTTTATACATAGATTTGAAATGTTTATAATATATCGTCTCCATTGTATTTGTGCCTCTTTTTGAGATTCCTACTCTGTTCCACTTATCTGTCATGCCCATATCACATTAGTTTAATTATCTGTAGCTTTAAAAATTGTTTTATTATTTAATAGAAATAGTTCACCTTGATTACTCTTCTCTTTTGGAATTTTCCTATTTTCCTTGCTGGTTTTTTTTTTTTCATCTAAATTTTAGAATCAACTTGTCTAGTTCAAAAACATCTTTTTGGCATTTAAAAAAATCAAGGGCAAGTTAAATTTATAGATTAATTTAGGGAAAGCAGATATCTTTATGATATTGTTTGCTCCTCCCCAAGGACAGGATATGCTTTTTCATTTGTCTGTGTGTTTGTGTGTGTGTTTCTCAGCAGCATTTTAAAGTTTTATTCATAAATGTGCCCATTTCTTAGTAATTTTATTTCTTTTTGTTTGCTATTATAAATTGAAAGCTTCCATCATCTCTTCTAATCAACTCTGTGTGTGTGCTCTTGCTTCCTGCAGATTAATTTTGTAATCACCAGGAACATTCCCAAATTCTCTCCGGTTCCCCCTAAGTTTCTCTTAAAGGTTCTTCTAGGCCGTGGTTTCTCCAGCCTGCACTATTGGCATTTTGAGCCAGAACCTTCTTTGTTGTTGGTGGGAAGGTGGGGGGGGGGGGGGGAGGTGTTGTCCTGTGCATTTTAAGATATTTAGCAGCATTCCTGGCCTCTATTGGGGAAATAAGGGGGTCGCCTCTGATTAAGAACCATTGTTCTAGTCCATAATCCAG